AGAGAGAGAGAGAGAGAGAGAGAGAGAGAGAGAGAGAGAGAGAGAGAGAGAGAGGAGAGGGAGAGAGAGAGAGAGGGGGGAAAGAGAGACGGCCAATATAGTGTCCGCCCAACCCCTTTTAGCACTATGATGTCAGCCATGGCCAGCGCGGCGCAACAACAACAACAACAGCAACACAACAACAACGCGGTCGGCATGATTATAATAAGTGATCGCTTGGATACTCGATGTGTGCCAAACTGGAAAGCTTTCTGCCAGGTGGAATAATGGGCTGCTCTGCACAGTCGACCGACGACATTGCCACTCATCACGGTCTCATCACTGTCACTGTCTACTCGACAAAGCCCTTTTGTCCATAACGGACGCGGTGCAACGACGGCGGTTCTGAACCTAGCGCCCAGCAGCGCAACGCTATCCCCGTACTTCCCAATAAGCGCGAAGCGGAGCGTTTTTATGAAGCGCATTACGCTCCGAGATTGCGATCATTCTCCGCTGCGCTCGCCAAGTCGCGCGTTCCTGTCCGGCGAGTTGTTTCAGGGTAGGTGGTGGGACGCGACGGCGTTACCGTCAGGCGTCTCGTATCGATTTGTGAAATATCGCGGCGTCCAAACGGCGTGAAAAAAAAAGAAGAAGAAGAAAAAAAAAAGAAAACAGAGCGTGTGCGGTATACATACACGCCATTACATATGTAATTAATCATATCCGTGTCACGCGTAAAACTGTGCGCTACTTATCGTATGTTATCGATTCTTAATTTTCATCTCTTTTTTTTCCACCCTTTTTTTTTAATTTATACTCGTAAAATATATTCATTTCTTAATTTAAACGGTAAAGAGTTCGTTAAAACGTAATTTGCCTTATTTTTACATACGGAAGATATATATGTCGCGGTAGATAAGATATAAATACGATGGAAAAACTCGTCACTTTATCGATAAGTCTCGTAATGTTGTAATATGAAATGTACAATTACAATTACGATGCTATCGATCGGCAACGCGGAAGAATTGCGAGGTGACGTTAAAATGTATACATACATACATACGTAAAACAAGTTTCGGAAAATACCGAGTAAATTTATGTTGATAAGCGCGAGGAAAAGTAACGTTCGCCGTAAGACTTGGGATTCGTCGTGCAATCGATACGTAAACGGATAATGTGGTATCGCAATGGGATTTTTTCTTCGGTATATTTGATGTAATGTAAATTCATATGCAGTTATACTACGAAATTCTAGATGATGAGTAATGATCCGCGACACTCATATCAATGGAGGAAAATGGTTGTGGAAAAAATCAGACGGTTAATTGAAATATCTAAGGTTTCTAAGAATCTAGTTTGAACATTATATTAAGAAAGAGACACAGAAATTGTACTGTTTTATAATGTTAATTTATGCCAAATATGTATATTTGTACACACACACGCGCGCGCGCGCGCGCGCGCACACACACACACACACACACACACACACACACACACACACACACACGATACTTTTCTCAGGCGTATGACTCAAAAATCATAGAATAATTATTACTTTAAAACTTGTAAGACAGAACAAGTAAGCGAGATTTTATGATACTTTTCTGAAACATATGATTCAAAAATCTTACAAAATGACCTTTATTTTAAAAAAACCCGCAAAAAGTAGAATATAAAGAATATAAAGAATTCATATACACTATGCTTTTGAATATATGCTTCAAATATTTCATTATATGTGATGATTTTTTTTATTTTAGAACATCTATCAGACACAGATAGGAGATGAATATGACGAATTCATATATATATATATACGATATTTTTCTCGGACTCAAATATTTCAGGATAATGTTTATAAATATATAAAATTTATATAAAATTTATGCACATATAGGATATAAGTAAAACACGTACAATATTCTTCTCTCTCTTGTATGATTTAAAAATTTCGTAGTATAATTTTTATTTTAAAATATCTATGAAACATAGGATATGAACAAGAGTTTACACACTTTTTGGATTTAAAGAGTTCACTTTCTCGGATCTTGTAGAATGTTTGTATAAAAATTTCTACAATTTACAAATAAAAACAAGTTTTTAGATTTCCCAAATAAAAAAGCTTTATTATTGTAGATGCTCAGACAAGAATAAGAACAGGAGATGCGCAGAATACACATAAGATCAGTGGCGTAACGCTCGTCGGAGGTAATGGCTCGGAATTGGCAAGACTTCCTGGTGGAGCAGAACTGAATATACTTCCAGCAAATGGTGTGTACGACAACACAACATGTATTAAAATCTGTAGCTATTCGCATTTGAAATGTTTGGTTTCATTGCATGTTGCACAATATAGCCAAAAATTTAATACGTTCATTTTGTAATTACAGGATTAACCTTAAGTCATGGAGTCTCGCTTCAACCTGCCACGGGCAAACCAGCTCCGACAATGATGCAAAACTCTCCGTCCACAGAGGGTATAGCTCACATTGTCAGTCAACACGCGCCTCTTTCCGGTCTAACACCGATCGTCACGCCAATGACTGTTGTCTCTCAAGGTAACCAGGTGACTGCTCACATTCTAGCACCATCGAGCCTTGCAGGAAAAATGATCACCACTCCGATTCTCAAGTCCGTGGGACAAATGCCGCTTGTAAATGCTCAGTATCTTAACACTACAACTTTAGTGAAACCGGTCGTCGTAGTGAGCTCACCGTCGACGTCAACAGTATCTTCAACAACAGCCGCAACGGCGGTTTCTAGTACACAACCTTCATCCACTTCGAATTCAACCGTCTGACAAAATCAAGGAAAAGCGAAATTAATCTGATCGCACTGGAATATCATAATATGGATTGCCGACGTTTTGAGTAAATCTCTACATTTACCTAAAATAAATCTATCTTTTGTTATCTAGGTATTGTTGAGATTGCTTAGAAGATATGTTAGTGATGAACTAATAAGAATGAGCAATTTAAAACTTGAAACATTTTACGAGACAGTAAATATTATGAAAAAATTTATGCGAAAAAGGAATTTGGCTATTATGCTATTTCTAACATCTCATCAAAGTGATTTTGCATTTTGAAATATCATTTTATTGTATCCCGTAAGAACTGATATTCGACATATAAACTCTTTCGAAGAGTGAATCGACTGAAAAAGTGTGAGAAAAAGTCCTTGCTCAACACATGCGATATATATATTGTACACGGTACCTTGATTTTATTAAGAAAGATAGTTTATGACGTAAATTAAATATAAAGTTTAAACGGTTAATTTATGACAATAGTCCCAAGTGTCAAAAATGAGAAAGCTTTCATATATTAATATGCTGACAAATTAATGTTTTTAAAACTTTTAAGGCTTCAGTTCCTTATTTTGTAATTTTTAACGTACGTATGCGTTAAAAATTTTTGCGCAGACAAAATGTATCACAAAATAGCGTTATCATGTATTGACGATAACAAAATTATCGTTACAAGTTACAGAATAAGGGAACTTGTCTCGTATGCTTCTGTATTTGGATCATTGTTTCGTCATATTCCCAATCGAGAATTCTTTCGTTATGCTTATACTTTGACAAAATACTTTTTTTTTTAAGTGTTTTATGTTACTTTGTGAGTCCTAAATATCTGTAAAATCTATGAAATGACAATCTTTGACTTGCAGTAGAACAAATTTTACTTTTTGCATAACTTTTAAATTGCTTGACTGTATTTTGTGAGATATAGATTGAAAAATTTCATCGTACTTTATTGCAACTGAAAAAAGTATCACGAAGAAAAAAATGATAATGACGATATATTTAGAGTGATATTAAATTAAAATCTTATAAAGACTCATAAGTCTCGTAAAATAACACAAAAGGATTTGAATTTAATCATCTGGCGATCGAAAGTTGGAAGATTGAAAGTTATAATGAGTTTTGTGTCTTAATATTTACCTAACGGCTGTGGAGAACGGATATCGAGCTCTATATGGAGGTCTGTCTGTTTAATTTCGACAATTCAATCGCAAGATGTATTAAATTAATAACAAATATAATATAGATTTGTAATAATACATATTAAGTATTTATTCCTCTGTATTTATTATATGTTTACTTGCGAATATATTATATATATATATATACAAATCGCTATCGCGCTTTTTACGAACGCATAATTGTAATGCGCCACGAATGTTAATTTTCATCGGATTTCATACTCGGATTTTGACATACGGAGGGATTTAAAATATTTGCATTTTAAGTCACCGTCATCATTGTGATCCGTCTTATAAATATGTGCGTTATAATGTTTCGAGCTTTTATACAAATATTCATTTCCGTAATGCAATTCTCGCATAATAACCGAAAATGATTCGGGTAGAATAGAAGAGAATGATAATGCTCACAGCTGTCTAGGAAAATAGAATGATTGCACGCATTTGTTCAACTTTTTGCACTATCATTTTTTCATTATGTATGAGGATTATCTGATAAATAAGATATAGATTAAAATTATATCGAAATTGTTATCTTCATTGTATTTTTCTGATCTTTTTACATAAAAGTTTCAATGTAATTCTAATCTATACCTTGTTTATTAGATAATTCTTGCATATTTGTTTGCTCCTGTAAAAATTATATTGTATACGTCTGTTTGGTATTCTAACAGTGGAACTGTTAACAGTGGTATTTTAGCAGTGGTACTGTTAGCAGTATCTATGAAAATATTGACATTAGAAGTACATATTTCATCACTACATGAAACCACAATGGGACAATTGATGTTCTATTACATATTTACAAACTTTTTAAAACATTTTTATATGACTCAAGGCGTAATAGTTTCCCATTTTTTTTTCCTGCATGCACACTTATTGATGGTCTCTAATGAATAGTCGAGTCTTTGTAAATTAGTACTACTATCTCTTACATATCTTTCATATTTCATACATAAGAACTTGTTTTATATTTAAATTATTTAATCATAAATTGATTTAATTCGAACTAAGATGTAAATGCGTGTCTTAGCGGGCTACAAAATTGCATAAATCTATGTTAATAGCATTGTTCGACAGCTAATGCGTATAGACATTTTACTAACAGAGAAACTCGCTATAAAAAAAATTCTTCAGTTCTAGATTATAGCTTAATTTGTTTATATTATGTAAAGAGATTTCTCTTTTTTTTTTTCGAATTTTTTCGTTATTCTATGCACAGAATCTTCTGGATCTGTATTTAATCCCGATGCTGTTGACTGGCTTAATGAAAAGGGAGAATTTCATCAATTTAACATGTTTAATAAAATTAATCATCCATCCTCATACTATGTGCTTCTTAGTATTCAGGTTACAACGAGAAAATTCAGTTTGCAATAAAATGATGAGAAGTCGAGCATATACTCGGATCGAGGTACTAGTTTTGTTGAATTTTTTTCGATGCAGACGAAATCTCAAGTCGTGCAATGGATGTAAACGATTGCCACATACCCTGACATACACGAAAAGCGCATAACTGTGAGCAGGACTGGGATCGGGAAAAAGTAGATAAGGAAATGTGATCGAATATCGCCTCCGCGATATTTTGCATCAGTCTAACCGCGAATAAAATCTCTGTCGGTAATTATTTAAGCGATATAATAGCCTCATGTAAATAATCTCGTTAGCGAAAATGAATAACCAAACGGGTCGAAACGATTTCGCGACGGAAAGAAATTAAAGATAATATAGCACTGAGCACTAAGCGAAATGAATAATATGAACAATGTGATATAAATGATAAATAAAAGATTAATTAGCACAGTAGTGTTTAAGGAAAAAAAAAATCAACTATTAAATCGTTTACGGTGTAGATAGATGCTGGTAACTATTATTTACTAATATCCTAAAAAAAAAAAAGAGAGAGAATGTCAAAAAATTGAATTGTACATAGAAAATATAAGAAAGAGAGGAAAGGAGAAAGAGGCGGAAAGAAAGAAAGAGAAACAGAGAAATATGTGTGAAAGAGGAGGTGTATTGTAAGATATTGTATAAATATATATTGAATATACTGAGAAAGGTAGAAACGGACACAACGTGATGGACTGTGCCGGATGTAACATTTTGTCGGTGGTAAAGATATTGCCGACATTGCGTATATCCGTATGATAGACTCTATAAAAAAAAAAAAACTGTATTTGAACGGCGACGAATGTGGAATAAGTATGTATGAGACCGCGTGTTGGGAATGCCTGAGAGAAGTATGTAGCAAAAATGTTATTATTGTTGTAGTCTATATCAAATTTTGTTATATGCCTCGACTAGCATGCGCAAAGCGATAATACATCTTACGGCGCGGTTTGTTGTGCGTAAGAAGTAGGTAACGAAAAGGGAATGCATGTGTGGTGTGTGTGTCCTGTGTGTGTATGTGTGTGTGAAATATTGAGTATGTATTTGCATGCGCGTGCGTGTGCGAGGAAGAAAAGGAAGGAGAGAGAAACAAAAAGAAGAGAATGTGAAAGAGTGACGGCAAAGTGTCGCTGAAGAGATTCGATCTCTCTGCGCACACAATACTTCTTGTTAAAAAAAAAAAAAAAGTCAAGTGCGATGAAATTCAGTACAGTCTATTATAATAAAGATTAAACTGTGAGTGTGACAGTTGCCCATTTCTCCTTGCAGTTGTCTAGTATATCCACGCCGACTCTCGGGATTCTCAGCTCGATATTCGCGCCAGAGAACGACTGCTGTTTGTTTTGCGCCTTGTGAATTCTTTTGAATGGACGACAGTTTCTTTTTTATTAAAAAAAGTTGATTCAAAAACGAACCTTTGTTCTTGAAGTACCACGCTGCTTTTATTTTTTGTATTAATTTTTTTCTTTTTCGAAACTTTTGTTTTTTCGAAGCTTAATTTTTGAATTATGAAATAAAAAAAGGAAATAGTTACTCGTTGTGAATTCTTTAGCAAAGCTAAAAATCGGAGCTGTAAGCGTAGCTGTAAGAAGAAAGTGATAGAAGCGTGAACGAAACTTCTAAAATTATTGCTATGTAGAAAAATGAAAGCAGGATCGATTAATTATAGAATTATTGAAAACTTATTGAAACGATTACTATTTAAAAATTTTTAATTATTGATATTTAATCGATCGACGATTAGTCGATTCCTTCACTGTTAAAGTCTCACTATTTGCGTTTTTTTACGTGCCATCTGATTATGAATTGCATGGGCCTTGTTTCTTCTTATATCAAATGCGTAATGTGCAAACTATTTCCTTTTACAATTCAAAAATTACTCTTCGGACAAATTTGGAAAAAGAAATATCATTTCATCAGAATCAAATCAAAAATATATTTCAAAGATTTTATTTTACGTTTAGTCTGAATCATTCTGTATAATTCAAAAGTTATATGAGTTTATTTATACAAGCAAATCGTAAATGCACGTTAAAAAAAATTATGTTAAAAAAATAGTGTTATGAGAACTAAATATCTTAACATATGTAGATTCTGAGAATGTTTGCTGGATAGAAGTCATTTATTCCTATACACATTCGAGATATATAGGGTGATGCAAATTCACTGTCCGGCGCGAGAGATATCATTCACTAACAGTGAGTTTGCCGCCCCCCTGCTTACCCTCTGTACTCATTTCACGTAATTAATTAAATAATCCATTTCTTCTTATAATTTAAAAACTAAGCTTTGGACAAAATTTTGGTAAAAAAAATCGTCTTAGAATTAAGTCAGGAATATGTCATTTTACAAACAAATGGTTGTTCTAAATCACCCTGTATATTATAAAAACTAATGAAAATGTAAATATTGAATACGGTTTCAATACATACATATTACAAAAAAATTAAATTAATATTTTTTTTGTAAGTAATACAGAAAAAATTAATACAGAATGTAACTCGAGATGAAAGACATATACATAATTTATTTCTATGCGATATACTCCGAACATCTTCAGAATCTGATATGTTACGTCGGATATAGATAATTTTTTTTTTTTAAATAATTGGAAACAAGCTTTTATCATTTTACGAGCTAAGTAGCCTGATAAATATACTCTTTGAAAACTATGGTATCACGACATAAAAGATGTACTTTTGAAATCGAGTCGAGAATAACGAGCCTGTGGCTACTGTGCGCTTTTACCACGCGTACGAGATAAATAGCTCGAAAGATTTCAGAGGGTGAAATTTTAGTAGTCGTAGCGATCTATATCTATTTCTCAAATCGGGGAAGAACAATCGCGTAAAATCTGTCGCGAAGAGCCAATTTTTCCACCCGATTTGCGACCGCGACTGCACATATGTATGTGTGCGATCGCGTTTAAGCTGTTTGTCGCCAGTCGAGCAAACAAATCATCCACGAAAGCAGATCAGTGTTGAGTGTGAAAATCAAAATTAGATCTGCCTTTTCTAACTGCTAGTGTTTAGATTAAAAGCACGTTCAGATGCGACGTCAGATGCAAACGCTCGATCGCGTCGTCTCGTTTTCGATTCTTCGCGAAAATATTTTCTTTAACAAATTATAAAGTCACTCGAAATTGGATAATATATATAATTTCAGAATTTCAGAAAGTATTTTTAAATTTCTAAAGTCACTTTGCTGCAAGATGCAACGGAAACTTTTTTCGATTTTGTTTTTATTTGTGACTTTATCTTCTGATTTTATTCGACGAGACTAACCTGACGAAACTATGTATTTTTTTTTTTTGCATATTTTAAGATAATTTGCATATCGTGATTTTACATTTGTTATGTAAATTATTTTGGTTATATACTTCTTATTGGCTTATCAAATCATTCGGCACATTCGAGTAACGTGCGATAGTGCGTTTCGCCGTGCACTGCAGCTGGAACTGCGGATTTCTAGAATTAAAAACTATTTAGCTCTTATCCGATTCGTACATATGTAAGATCGACTTTGAGATCTATCTCGTCATCATTGAAAATCATCTCGTGAAATTGATCGGCGCCTCTTTCCCTTGTGGCTGACTTGACACACAAATAAATTGATGAATAGTTTAACTGTTGTTTCCTTATTCACAAATCCATAAATTGCGCTTAAAGGTGATCTCGTGAACACGTGACGTGTCAGCCGCGGTGCGTAAAAATACACGAGGCAACGCACATTCAAGGCTGCAACACACAATAGTTTAACTGCGAAATATTCCAACAATATTACATAGAAAATTTAACTTTCGAAACGAAACGCTACAACACAAAATATTAAGTAATACCAGTCATTACATTTTAGGTATCTTCTACATGATCTTTGCCGTTTCATTCAGAGTGGGCGCTTACGCGCTGTAAATATTGTTCTATCTTCCTTTGACGTATGTTTTATAATAAAGATAGAATGATAAGCGTCCAAAGCCTTAATACGCCTTAATACATTCGTTACAATTTATTTAAAATAAATATATAGATCTTATAAATTTTATCTATTACAATAACAGATTGTTACGATAAACTAACTATACGTATTACAAAACGATACGTAAATTAGAATTTAAAATGGTAAAAATTTTTAAGTGAAGAAAGGAATTTTAAGAGAACTCACGCTCAATGTTAAAAATGTTTAAATTAGATAATGGATTACATTCAATTGAAACACGTTGCCTTTAAATATATACGAATCCGACAAACTCATAATTTCGCGAGCTATCAACATTTCTTTCTTTTTCACGTTTTTTTTTTTTTTACAAAATGAACCTAAAGAAAATTTATTTCATGTATATATTTCAGGCGGCGAAAATGGCTCATATTTATTGATCAGCGCTTATCTTTTTGAAGCGTAGTGATAATTTATGTCTTTTTGCAAATGATAATTTGTCCAACAGATATTGTCTTGATAAAAGCTGTGTGCCCTTTATTGTTATAATATATTTACATAAAATATATTTTATTTGGCATTTATGCACTTTCATATCTAATCTGTTATTATATTTCTTTATATATTAATATTATTTCAATATTAAATTATATTGGATAAAACGTGCAAAAGGAAAGAAAAAGTGCATTCCCATATAAAAAAACTTTCTCTTATTTTACATAAATTTAATTTACAAATAAATAAAATATTAAATTTATTTAATGATTCATATTGTAATTGTTTTGTTAATTTAAAATATTTTAATTTAAAAAATGATAACATGATTCTAATTTGATATAAATAATTTTTAAGTTATATAAGCATATTCTTAATTCATTTATTGCAGTATCTGAATGCGATTTTATCGGCAGTGAAAAATGGATGTAGCTAAGCAGTTGCAAATTCAAAAATGATTGTACTGGCGGTAGTGTGCAGGGGCTGCATCATGGAGGGGGGGGGGGGGGGATTCCATGAAAAAAATCAAGATAACCGCTTTCAAGTTTCTCTCTAGTTTAGTATAGGTCTATAGATACACAATTATGTTATCACGTGATCGATTATGTTGGTACACCTGACTGTTCGAAAGGTTTAGCGTAAGTTTATGCGGTCCGTTGTGGGTGTTACGTTTCTGCATGGTTCTGTGAATTTCTGAAAGATTTTTCCTAAGAAATTCCTCCTATTATCACTGTTGCGCGACAAAAATGAGTGCCCGACGAAGACATGCCAATGATTTCACAGATGCTCTGACAAGTTTTCGTAAGTATGGCGATGTTTTCCTAGTAAACATCAATTAACAACAAACATATATCTAATATATTTCACTAATAACTGTTATATACAACATATATTACACTCATATTATTGAGTGGAAGATGATGTGATATCTCAATTAGTTCCTATTTATTGATCTCACCATCAGCATTTACGAGAGAAATATATTATTTTTTTTGTATACATATAATGTATATCTTATATTCAAATTCTAATTATATTGCCAATACTGAAAATATATAGTATTTATCACAAGTATTATAGATTTTCAGATAATTGGTCAAAATTGTCATAACATAATCATTATTATATTTATGTATACATA